TTTTTTGGTTTTTCTCCGGTACTGGGAACCGAACTCACGACCTTGCGCTTGCCAGGCAGGTGCTTTTGCCGCTGAGCTAAATCCCCAGCCCAGTTGGCATGCCTTTTAAAGGTTAAACTGGGCATGGTCATGCACGCCTGTAATCCCAGTACTTAGGAGGCTGAGTCAGGTGGCTTACCCTGAGTTCAAGGCCAAACTGGGCTACATAAGTGAATATATAGTGAGACCCTGCCTTAAAAAAAAATGGCGGGCCATTTTAGAGGTTAACACACTATATTGTGTTCAGCTAATCCTTTTGGTTGGAGTATGACAGAGCTCCATTAGAAGTGGGGAAGAAAGCTGGCATGGGGAGAGATGGTTATAAATCCTGCACTTTCCGAGACTGAGACAAGCAATCAGTTAGAGTCCTTGTGTCAAAATGAAAAATAATAACGACTGGGGATGTAGCTCAGTGCAAAGATCCTGGGTTCAATCCCTAGTACCACCAAAATAAAATAAAAAGTGATAAAGAAGGAAAAATCATTTATAGAAATTTAATGGAAAACCTCCTTATTGGTATCAGTTTTCTCACTGACTTCTTTGTTGGTTGTATATTTTTGAGATTTTTGCTTTTGAGACAGGGTCTCATTGTGTCACCCAGACTGGCCTCAAACTTGTGATCCTCCTGCCTCAGTCCTGTCAGATGCTGGGATTACAGTCTTGCACCAGCAGGCCTGACCAGTTTCTTCTTTATTGAGTTGGCTTCGTCTTGGCCTAGAGCTTAGCAACGTGAATCCGCAGGAACTAGATTTGTATAGGAATCACATGTTGAGGCGACTTTTAAATTTCTATACCTGTTTGTACCAAAACTGAGAAAGTGCTTTCATGTACAGACTGCATGAGTGACTCTGTAATTATGCAAATAATAACCCTCCTGCCCTATCCCCTTTGGAATTATGGCATTTACAACAGAACTGTTGCCAGAAAGACATATGTGGTGTGCTGTTTTAAACCCATTTCTAGTTGTGACTGCCAGCTGAGCCAACTTGAGATTCCGGGTTGAGTGGGATGAAATGCTAAATTTACTCCTAAAATATCTGTCTTGGTTTGCTGTTGAAAAAAATACAGCTAAAATTTGTCATTATCACTGCCAAGGGCATTAATGACAAAGATTAAAGGAGAGCCATTGAGATTCTAGGTTCAAATGCACCGTGAACTCACTGTAACTGCCAGATGTTGCCCCCTCAGTCTCTTGCAGATCTCCAGCAGCAGGAAGAGGAGACCTACGCAGATGCCTGTGATGAGTTCCTGGATCCCATCATGAGCACACTGATGTCTGATCCTGTGGTGCTGCCATCTTCCAGAGTCACTGTGGATAGGTCCACCATTGCCAGACATTTGCTCAGGTATGCCAGTCCCCAAATGAGCGGTGTGGTGGCACCCTCCTATAATTGGCACTCTGGGAGGCTGAGGCAGAAGGATCACAAGTTCAAGTCCAGGCTGGGCAAGTTAAGGGCTTGGTGAGAGCCTGTCTCAAGATAAAAACTTTTCAAAAGGGCTAGGGATGGAGCTTAGTTACAGAGGCCCTCGGTTTGATTCCTAATACTACAAAAAAACAGAAAGGAAAGAAAGGGAAGAATTCTATCGACATACGTTACAAGATATATCAACATGGTCCTTATTTCAGCAGCACATAATACTAAAATTGGACAGATATGTCAACATGAAGTATGTTTTTTTGTTTTGTTTTGGGTTTTTTTGGGGGCGGTGGTTGGTATTGGGAATTGAACTCAGGACTTTGCACTTGCCAGGCAGGCTCTGTGCTGCTGAGCTATATCCCCGGCTCAACATGAAGTATAAGTTGACCTGAAATTATTTTTGTGTTTTTTTGTTTTTCTGTGGTACTGGGAATTGGTCCTGGCTTGTAATACTTAGGTACTGACCCTGCCTCAAAATAAAAGTAACAAGGACTTGCTCAGCAAAATAACAAGGACTTGCCCTGGTTCAATCCCCAATACAAGAAAAGAAAGAAAAAGTTATTTACAGTGACTTGACTATATTGGAGCTCTGCCTTAAAAAATCTAAAGGCTGGTGACAGATACATTTTGGTTTTTTGTTTGTTTTTTTGGTACCAGAAATTGGAACTCACAGGCAGGTGCTATGCAGCTGAGCTACATCTCCCGCCCAAAGATACCATTTTTTAAACCAATGAAATCAGATATCTGAACAGAAGTGTTAAGATAAAGTTCTTCAGAGAAAGAGACACAAAGTGGCTGGAAAAACTCCTGAATCATTTTTTTTGTCACCTCATTCTTTCTAACACTCAAGTCAGTTTTGATTCGGTTTTAATGCACTTACCTAGCATCATCTGCAGTTGAAGTGAGGTGCCTAGGTGTTCTCTTTTAAGCTTAGAGTGTTAGAACTTATAGAAATAACACCAATTCCTTTTCTCTCTTTGTCATCAGTGACCAAACAGATCCTTTTAACCGTAGTCCCCTCACCATGGACCAGATCCGGCCAAACACTGAACTGAAAGAAAAAATTCAACGATGGCTTGCGGAAAGGAAACAACAAAAGGAGCAACTTGAATAAATACTGTGAACTAAACAAACCAAAAGGCAACCCCAAGTGTAGATAAACGATTGTTCTTGATCTCCCTCTTTTTGGTTCTGTTCCTTTCTTTTCCTTTTTTTTCCCCTTCACCAAATTAGGGAACTACTATTGCTCAAATTATGATAATTAAGATTCCTAAGAACAGCTGAGCATGGTAGTGGATGCCTGTAATCCCAGCACTTGCCTGTAATCCCAGCCTGAGGCAGGAGTATCACTGTGAGTTCAGGCCTGCCTGAACTGCATAGTGAGATCCTGTCTAAAAAAGACAAAAAAAAAGAAAGATTCCTAAGGATCTTGTCAGTGCTCCCCTGGCTTGCAGGAAATTACACTTTCTTATAGTGTCACCAAGTTTAGAAACCACCACTAATTTTCAGCTTTTATTATATTTTTAAGTCTAGTGTCACATATTTTCAATGACAGCTGCTAAGTCTGCATATTTACTAGTCCTCATAAACTGGACTTAAACCCTTGTTACAGTTTTAAAATGTTACGGAATAACTTTTCACATAAAAGCAAATGTTTATGTTTGTGTAGACTTTTTGAATAATAGGTAAGTTTTTTTTTTTTTTTAAATCTGCTGCTTCTGTTGGTAGCTAATTTTGTGTTATAACTCAGAAATATCAGACACTTTCTCATGAGGTTGTGACCACCAAAAATGTAGCCCTGCAGTCTTTTCATGAGGATTAGTAGTGACAAATCTGCAATATTGACACTTTAGTCAGAAAAAATTCTGGGGTAAAGGAATAAATAGGAAGCTATTGAGCATTTTTTCTCTTATGAAAAATCTGTTGCTACAAAGAGTAGGCCTGAGCAGAAAACTTAGGCAACAAATATTGTTACCATGAAAAATGTCATCTTAAGACACTAATATCAGTAGTATATCTCAGTGTGTATTATGTGTATATACATACACACACCATGTGCTTTTTTATATTGGTCTAGTGTAAACTAAGTACCACTTTATAGTATCTCTTCATGGTAAGAATGTAAACAGTGTGTGGCTATGCTTACATACTCATTCTAGACAATAAAATTCTGAGACTATAAAATGTATATAATTAATGTTTGTTTAGGCTGTGACCTGACTTGTAAGAGCTGCTTCTAACATAACCTTAGGTCGTCAATCAACAAAGTAGGAATGTGAGCAAAACCTTACCACAAGCCATTTGAAATACCCACTTATCCCTAAGTAGAGCTCTCTACTAATAGTGCAGTTTAACCTGCTGAATGAAGCACATTCCCCAGTGGACCATCTCTCTGTCAGTGTCCATCTAAGCCCAGAGATACCATAAGGGACAAAAAAAGTAATTTAGAAATAGGGGTCAAGCCAGGTGTGGCGCACACCTGTAATCCCAGCAGTCCGGGAGGCTGAGGCAGGAGGATCATTGCAAGTTCCAGGCCAGCCTGGGCTACAAAGTGAGTTCAAGACCAGCCTAGTGAGACCCTGTCTGAAAAAGACAAAAAACAAAACAAAAAAAAGAAATAGGGGTCAAATAAGATATTTTTTACAATATTCCAACACAAGTTGCTAAATGGTCCTTGATGTATTTTAATGGTATCAGCTGGAAAACCTCAAATCTAAGATGGCCTCCTAGCCTGGATATAAAATAGATACTACTTATGGCTTTGCTTATAAATGAAAAAGACTGGCACACTTTTGTAAATGCCAGAATATAAGAGTGATGCATTGTGTCCCCTGGGCCTTTAAGGATGTGTTGTTGACAGGATTTATTTTCTTAAAATGAGTGTTTCATATTTTTTCTCCTTTCCCTCTCTGAGAATGATCTGTGTATAAAATAAGCTTCCACCTATTTGCATTTATCTTCCAATCCCAATCTAATAGTGTCATTTAAAAAAAAAAAAAAAAAAGGCCAGAGTTTGCAGGAGAAAATTGCAAGAAAATGGGCACAAGAAAGCTCCGAAAGCAGCTGTTCCCAGCAGCTTTCTAGCTAACAACCTCTATGCTGCCTCTAGTATCTATATTGTTCTGTGATTAGCCTTCAGATTGTAATCCTCATATAGCAAGCATTTTTGTTCTGTTTTGTTTTTCTAAGCTCTTTTCCTGAGACTTTATGAATGGCTATGGCAACATTCATGCTGCTGAATATCTCTAAATGCATCACAAAGCAAGTGCGTAGCTTAAGGCCACTCTTGGTAAAGAAAGCAAGTGTCCTCTGTGCCTTCTTTCGGTGAGGTAGTTTAGGAACATCAAAAAAATGAGACTTTTAAAAAATCCCATCTCAATACATGGTGCATATATGCATTTAGAAGTATAAAGAGGTATTTTGTCTGGAACTCAGTAGCAACTCTTAATCTTTTTAAGAGTAGACTTTTTGACATACCTGGTTTGATGTGATGGCTTTGCTGGAGTATGTTAGGAAAATGAAGACTAATCGGCTCTGGTATTGCCTACAACTTTCGAAGCCTCTCAGTAAAGTGGGAAATTATTTAAGTGGGTTTTGTCAAGCAGTCAGAGTTCTGTGGATTGTTTTTTTAGTAGTTTTTAGTGAATATATAAAATCGGAAGGAAACTCTAGAGGTATTCTAATGGTGCACGTGAAGGTGCCATTTACTGTTCAGTATCACATTCTACATCACTTTATCTGATGTTGGTTGCTAAGCAGCCATTAAAGAGTGTAAATCTACTGGGGGCCTTTTACAAGCCAGAGGCTCATGCAACACTGTTGTCATGCACATGTTCTAACTGCTAAATAGAAAAGAAAAAAAACTAAAAATGAAAGTGAAGAGCAAAAAAGGTTGACTGAAATAAAACTTGATCTACATAACTGTATTCTGAAACATTCCAGGAAGGTTACTTTTTGTCATACTTGCCTGGGGGTGTTTGTTCAAAACTTGTATTTAATAAATGAACACCTAACTTACAATCTTCGTTATCACTTTTATTACATATTAAAAGCTAGTAGTTTTAGAAATCTCTCTGAAAACCTAGAGGATTCTTGACTCTTTTTTTTTTTTTTTTTTAAGGTAGAGAGTATCCAATGTGTGTAACTTGCCTGACCTGCTCACCAGGTCTCGGGGGGACCCTGGAGTTATCCCCAGTTAAGTCTCAAGCCTATTTTTTTTTTTTCCTAATTATCTCCCTTTGGCTTCACTTTTCCTTATCTGACCTAAACCCCAGGCCTTTTATTTTAATCATTTGCTACCATGTTCCCCCTTCTTGCCCATTGTTTCTATATCCCTACCATGCAAAACTTCAGCCTAGATTAATCCCCAGCTGCACCCTCAGCTCCGCACCAAGCTACAGACTAGGATGAAAACAACACAATCGGGGCTGGGGATTTAGCTCAGCGGCAAAAGCGCCTGCCTGGCAGGCGCAAGGTCGTGAGTTCGGTTCCCGGTACCGGAGAAAAACCAAAAAAAAA